AAGTATTGCCCGGTTTGTAGTTGCAGTTAAAGAAAACACATGAAAAGGCACGATTTTTTTTAAATTCGAAAAAATGTAAATATTTCAAAAACGGTGACACTTTTACCTGAAAATTTTTTGTTTATCAGTGAGCTCACCCCCCCACCTACCTTGCCCTAAAGTTTGGCACGTTACTTCTGGGACACCCTGTATAATATGTATTTAATTAAAAGGCGAAAATAATTTTCAAAAATATTAGACAAAAAGATACAGCTCACCACTGTGAACTGAAATTGCTGCTATTAGCAGCGACCGGACGTTGTTTATTTCTGCGGCTGCTTTGCAAGTTCCTTTGGTTACTATGCCAGTTGCTGCCGTCACTTTCGCTACTCAAATGCTTTGACGTCGTCGGCTGATAGTGATAATAATGATGTGGGGTGGTGCAATACCAAGCTGTGATGGTAATTGTGGAAATTCTCCTAGCTGTTGGCGAGTCGGCGTGGTCGGAAAGAAGTTGGCACTTGTTGTTGGCTTGGATCGGCACTAGGTAATGCAGCAGCCGCAGTAGATATCGTAGGTTCTTAGTCCGGTGAACCCGATTGCGTTTGCTGTGATGAGGACAGTGAGAAAATCAGTTATTGTACATGTTGTGGTTGATGATTGAAGTTGTTGAGAGTGATAGTTTTGTTGCGGTTTCAACGGTTGAACTCCTTGCGCCAGTGAAACAATGTAATGGCGACGGGTCCCACTTATGCGACAAAGTATATGTTGGGACAACAAAAACTAAACTCAAGACAAGGATTTCCGCAATAAGACGGCCTTGTCAGCACACTGTAGGGATACGGAACACTATCCCGATTTAGATAATGTTGCCATTCTACAAGAAGAAAATAACTATAATAAACGCTATATTTTGGAAATGTTGCACATTACGAACACCCCTAATGAGAGAAGGAGCAACTTTAAAACGGACACAGATAATTGTGCACATGTGTATCGCAATTTGGTGTTAAATCTGCAACACCAATCCTCAACGTAGGTGTTCCGTTCCGCCTTCCATAACAAACATTCGTTCCGTTTCCCCAACATACCTTCATAGAATAACAATAAAATGCTGTGCTTTTAAATGTACATATGTTTCTACATATACATATTGGGCCATATGAATAAAAAATAAGCAATTGCTTTTTCTTAAATATCAGACATTTTACTCGATTTATTCAAACAAAATTGAAGTAAACGGTATGAAATTTTAAGAAAAAGCAATTGCTTAGTTCTTATTCATACGGCCCATTGTATTACTGCTCAATGTTGTTTGTATGTTTTTTGTTAACAATTACGGTATTTTTAATTGTTTACTTCTTATGTCTATATTCATTAGCCTAAAATTTCACTTGTGTAACTTTTATTTCTGTACGCCTAATTAGTCGACCAGGCACAATGAAGAGTGCAAGTTGTGTTTAATGTATGTTTTTAATAATTTAAAGTTAATAATAACTTATCGTGTTTGTATATTTACAGTCCTGAAGATGACCTCAGATTGAGGTCGAAATATCGACAATGAAAATATCAATAGAACGAAGTTTTGCGTTTTATTTAGGCCCCCATTATCATTTGCGAGTCGCCTTTTGACCCGTATTACGGTTAGCGAATGTACTAGTTCGCATAAAATATGATGTTGCCAGCGCCAAAAACAGAAAGCGACGAAAGTGAAACGTTAAAAAACAACGAAAATTCAAAGACAAAGTTCAAATTGATTGAATGTAATAAAAGTAAAAGTAATTCGAAATGATGAGCAGTGTGGACTTATTTTTTGAGGACGAGTACGATGTGGAAGAAACCAACTGCAAAGACTGACGCTCAGCATCCGAGATAATTCGAACCCGATGGATCTGCCCAATAGGCTGTAAGTAGAATGCCGTTTGAACATTTATCAAAAATAAACATGTAATTTTGTACTCCAGATTCGTTGCATACTTCAGGATCAATAAGGAAGCTTTTATATTCCTGTTGCAAAAAATGGACGGCTCCCTCTCAATGCACCGGAGCGCAGCAATACCACTAATTTTAAAGCTTGCTTGCGCCCTTCGCTTTTTCGCTGATGGCTCCTATCAAAGGGGCTTTCCGAAATCTCGTATACCTGGAATCATTGGGTGCGTGGAAGGAACGCATATTGGTATTGTTGCACCAAATCGATTAAAACATCAGTATTAAAAGGAAAGGGGTTTACAGTTTGAATGCAATTAAAAAATTTCCAGTTCTTTTTCCTATTTGTATAATGTAAATTGTTCAGGCTTGTGATCACAACATGGTGATACACACGATTCATTTGTTTCGGGAAACAGTGAACTGAAAGAAATCTCGCAAAGGATGTACAGCAATGGAGAACGAAGTTCTATGTATTTAGGTATGTTGTTTAACCATATTACTTCCAATTATTTATTTTGACTTTCTTATAGGGGATTCTGGGTACCCCTTAAGCCCTTATTTAATGACACCATTTCGTAGTGCAATCACTGGAAGCAGAGAGTCAACCTTTAACACCCAGCATGGCAAAGCGAGAAATATTGTGGAGAGAACAATTCGTGTGTTGAAATGTCGTTTTCGATGCCTCCTCAGGGAAGGAAAACTGTATTATTCTCCACACAAAGCCACACAAATAGTCAACGCCTGCTGTGCTCTTCACAATATTTGTTCGCATTTTAATATTGAAACACCAGATGCTGTTGAAAATTACATCGATCCAGTTGTTCAAGTGGAACCGGAAAATACGGACATTCATTCCAATGAAGGGGATCCGCGAAGGTCCGAAATGATGCATTCATTATTTGATTAGTCCTTAATTGTAATTTTTATTTCCTTCTATATTTAAAAGAAAACACTCTTTCCATTTAATTTAAATTCAACTTCGGATATGAAAAAAATATATACATAAAAATATTAATAGGTAAAACGGTCTTATTTTAGCTCATATTTTAGTTTTTTAAGTTCAAGTTCTTTCAATTTTAACTCAAGCTTTTCTTTATGCATATTTGCACGTTCTTGCCGCTCCTTATTCTTTATTTTTTCCTTTTCTTTTAAAATGTTCAACTTTTCTTTATTTATTTCTAAGCTTTTTCTTTTGTACCTCGCTATGTCGTGTAAATCCTGCCCAATACTTTTTGCTCTTTCGATCAATTCTTGCTGACCTTCTACCTGCATTTTTTTTAAATTAATGCGCTCCTCCTCCCTCTCGTTAACAGCAGATGCGGAAAGTGTTCTTTTTAGAAGGCGTAGCTTTTACGCAACGGCTAATGTCCTCCACATTTCCGGTGGTTTCTTCTGTGTCGCTTACAGCAGCTTTAAATGTATCTTCAATTGCTATTTCCGGTATAGGCGCACTTGCTTCCACAGATCTACTGATGCCGCAAAACCACTTGCACTTGGACAAACAGCATATTGAAGACCAAGCAATGGATCACCTGACTTCTCAAAAGATGAAAGACTCAGTTGAGTTAACGGTCCACCGCCAGTAGCGACGCTCTCTCTCTTATTGGCAGCAATATTTTGTTTCAGTTTTAATTTGTAGTCCAGCCATACCTTAAATGGGGAAAAATTACTGTAAATCGAAATCTGCGTTCCATTAGATAGGTACCTTGTTCCAATCTCTGCCATCTCGCTTTGGGGGTCCGAGACAGTTCGAATCACCAGCGAACTTGTCCCACATCTCTGTGTTGGTTTTTTTGCTCAAACCGAAGCTGCCAAGCCCTTTGGCTACTTCTGGGTGCTCCTCCATTAATTCAAAAAGAATATATATAACGCGAAGGGATTTTTTGGGCAGCATAAAAGATCTGTACCGTTCGACGGATTTTCAAAAATGAGATGTAAAATTAAAGCACTTGGTCTGTAGATGTGCAATAAGGTTTTAGTAATTAAATAAGCAATGCCATCAAATCCACACGGTTCGTTCGATTTTCAAAAGTGAGGTGTCAAATCAAAGGGCTCTGACTTTAGGTGTGCAGTAAGGTTTAACTTTTTTGAAAAGAGTTGCCACCTTTTAAAAAATTAAGTTCAAAATAATACGCGGAGGTATTTTTTGTTCCGCATAAAAGATCAGGCCGTTCGTTCGATTTTCAAAAATGGGGTGCCAAATTAAAGCGCTTGGCCTGTAGATGTGCAAACTGGCTTTATTTTTTCGAAAAGAGTTGCCACCTGATAAAAAATTGCATTCAAATAATTTAATAATCAATGCCATCAGATCCATACCGTCGTTCGATTTTCAAAAGTGAGGTGCCAAATCAAAGGTCTCTAGCTGTAGGTGTGCAATATGGATTAACTTTTTCGAAAAGAGCTACCACCTTTTAAAAAATTAAGTTCAAATTATTTAAAAAGCTAAACCAATTATTAAAAAATGGTCGTAAATGGAAATAGTTTTGAAAATCTTGGTTTATTAACTTAACTTTATGAGGGTTGCCACCTGTTAAAAAATAAAATTCAATTCAATTCAATTAAGGGAATTAGGTAATAGAAATATGTATGAGGCCAGGCGATAAAGTTTAAGTACGTAGTAGTTTGTAAACATTTTGAAGAGGGTTGCCACCTGTTTGCAAAGTGTAATTTATATGAAGCATTAGAATATGGACGTCAAGCGAAGTAATCTTAAGAGATCTTTAGTTTGAACGTTTAGAATATTTTTAAGATGTTTGAAGAGGGCTCCCACCTGTTTAAAAATTAAATTCAAATTTCAAATTATTTCAAATTATTTACATAGTTAAATCAATATTTACCATTTGGGTACCAGTCGCAGTAGTTTTGAAAATACTTTATTTCTTAACTGCGTATAGGAGAGTTGCCACCTGTTTAAACAATCAAATTCAATTTGAATTAAGGCAATGGGGGAATTAAATAAGGTATCTATATATGTATATAATACGCGAAGGCATTTTTTGTGCAGCATAAAAGATCTGCACCGTTCGCTCGATTCTCAAAACTGGGGTGCCAAATTAAAGCGCTTGGCCTGTATATGTGCAAACTGGTTTTATTTTTTCGAAAGGATTGCCACCTGTTAACTAATTAAACTCAAGTTAATTAATAATCAATGCCCTCAGATCCGCACCGTCCGTTCGATTTTCAAAAGTGAGGTACCAAATTAAAAGGCTTAGGGTGTGGATGTTCCAGAAGGTTTTACTTTTCGAAAAAAGTTTGCACCAGTTTCCAGTTAAGCTCAAATTAATTAAAAAGTTAAATCAATTATTAAATATGGGTACCAATCGAAATGGTTTTGAAAGGCTTTATAACTTAACTACGTGTAGGAGGGTTGCCACATGTTTAAAGAAAAGTAATTAAATTTTAATTAGAGGAATTTGGTAAATGAATAAGGCTATTTGGGTGTCATACAAAAGAGGGTTAAGAAGGTAGTAGTCTGGAAATATTTTGAATAGGTTGAGAAGTTTAATTGAACTATTTTATACCCAAGTTATATGAAATATTGACAATTTAGAACATTTTTGATATGCTTGAGGGTNCTATTTGGGTGTCATACAAAAGAGGGTTAAGAAGGTAGTAGTCTGGAAATATTTTGAATAGGTTGAGAAGTTTAATTGAACTATTTTATACCCAAGTTATATGAAATATTGACAATTTAGAACATTTTTGATATGCTTGAGGGTTGCCCAGCTTAAAGGGCAAAACTAAAATTATTTAATAAAAAAAAATGAATTACTAACCGATGGTAATCAATGGAAATGTGTTTAAAGTCCTTTATTTAAGAACTATATTTAGGAGGGTTGCCACGTGTTTAAAAAATGAATTTCCTCTTAATTCATAAGTTATATGAAATATTGACAATTTAGAACATTTTTGATATGCTTGAGGGTTGCCCAGCTTAAAGGGCAAAACTAAAATTATTTAATAAAAAAAAATGAATTACTAACCGATGGTAATCAATGGAAATGTGTTTAAAGTCCTTTATTTAAGAACTATATTTAGGAGGGTTGCCACGTGTTTAAAAAATGAATTTCCTCTTAATTCATCAGTTATATGAAATATTGACAATTTAGAACATTTTTGATATGCTTGAGGGTTGCCCAGCTTAAAGGGCAAAACTAAAATTATTTAATAAAAAAAAATGAATTACTAACCGATGGTAATCAATGGAAATGTGTTTAAAGTCCTTTATTTAAGAACTATATTTAGGAGGGTTGCCACGTGTTTAAAAAATGAATTTCCTCTTAATTCATCAGTTATATGAAATATTGACAATTTAGAACATTTTTGATATGCTTGAGGGTTGCCCAGCTTAAAGGGCAAAACTAAAATTATTTAATAAAAAAAAATGAATTACTAACCGATGGTAATCAATGGAAATGTGTTTAAAGTCCTTTATTTAAGAACTATATTTAGGAGGGTTGCCACGTGTTTTGAAAGTGGTATTTTGTTTAATTATACATAAGTTACATGAAATTTTAAAATATGGTTATCAAAAGAACGAGTGTTAAGAAATCTTTGAATTGAACATTTGGTTTTTTTGTTGAAAAAATTAAGCTCAAATTATTTAATAAGTTGAATGGATTGTCAAGATAAGGGTATCCATCGAAATGACTTTGAAAATAGTTGATTTCTAAACTGTATTTACTAGAGTTGTCATGTGCTTAAAAACACTAAATTCAACTTAATTCATCAGTTAATTGAAATATGGATAACAATGCCAGGCGAAAGATTTTAGTTTGAAAATACCTTTAAAGAGGTTACCACCTGTTTAAAAAGTCGAATTTGTTTTACTTATACGAAAGATACATATATGAAATATTGAAATATTAGTGTCAAACGAAAGAGTTTTAAAAAAACTATAGGCTGATAATACTTTTAATTAGCAATCTATTTTTTATTTTTTTTTTTTGAAGGTCATCACATCTGCAACGTTATTTCGAATTTCCAAAATGAGAAGTCAAATTAAAGAACTCGGATTCTACATAGATGTGCACAGGTTCTATTTTTTTAAGTTTCATGAAAACCGACTCCATGCAATACCTCTCATCACTCAGAAAGGGTTTAGATTAATCATTAGGAATATTTTTAGAGATTTTTGAATAGGGTTTCACCTGTTTAAAAAATTTAATTAAATGCTGGCGTTTTGGCGCCATGCGGGTTTACTAGTTTTTTTGAATTGTTGTGCATTTGTTTTCTTCACACTACAAACCAAACATTCTTTTAATTTGCAATTAGCTTACGTTTTTTGTTAATCTTACCAATTTTTGTATTCTCCATCTTTTTCTGGGAGTTTTTTAATATTTTATCACAATTATATCCGCTAGTCACATCCAAATTTCATTCGCTAGATTTTGACAATTTCGGTGAACGTTTTTTAGGCGAGTCGCTAACAGTAATAAACGCATTTTTTACATTCGCTTCATTTTGACGTTTGACGCGAACGTCACACAGCGACTCGCTAGCAGTAATACAAATTTTGGCGAGTCGCGTATTTTTTCCAGCGATTTGCAGACGATAATAGGGGTCTTAATTGCTGGGCCTCGAGCTTGTTAAAAAAGATTCATAATTTAAAATTCAAAGGCCAACAACAAAATCAAAATAATTCCTGAAAGTTCAAAATGGAAAATAACTTGAAATATTACATTTTTGATAATTACGAGTGACAGATTTCTCATTCTTACAGTTTATTTCCAATTTCTTAACGCCTAATGTATTTTCCAATATTACATTTACTATGATTTTTATTATGCCATGATTTTTGAAAGTCTCGTTTTGCGCTGAAAAAGTTATACTCAAAAAACGTACCCAAAGTGCCACGTCAAAAATGTTATTTTAATTACTTTGATTGATCATTTATACAAATTAAATTGACATTATTAAAATAAAACAAGTAAAGAAGTATAAGTTCGGATGAAACCGAACTTTATATATCCGGTGC